AAGGAGACAGTGACCAGAATAGAGGTTATAACATTTTGGGCTTCATATCTATAAATATTGTTCCCAGTATTTATTGTTAATGAGAAAGAATAATATTCTTTGATGGAGTATAATGGTCTTAATATGGAATAAAATTGTTGGAATCAAGATAAGTTCAATTACATTTAGAGTGGAAATAGCACTGCGTAATACCATTTCTAGTATACACTGGCCTTAATTAAAAGCCTAATTACTAAGCATAAAATAAATTCAAGAGTAGTATAAGGATAAAGCCAATTTAATCTCACGTTTTGCGGACAAATAGAAGACATTTTATTGCAAATTCTAACTGATCTTCTGAAATTGAAGTCCCAACTGTTGGATTGATCCGAGTTGTGGTGTGCACCCATCGAGTAACTGTGGGCACGCCGACGAGAAGCGAGATCAAAACGCAGAGTGAAAGACTGCGGTCTAGATAGTCGAAGTGGCTGAGAAGATAATTCTGGAGAGGGGGAGCTATTGGCGAGACCATTACCGTGAATGGGCTGACCAATACGAGATTTAATGGTCTAGATAAAGGTTAATGTAGACAAAATAAATCAGAGGATGAAAGCGATATATATGCAGAAAGGGTGACCTGAGTTGTCATACATTTAGGCGTATAAAAACATACACAAAAACGAATGATGATAGCTAAATACAATTGTGTCAAATCCGTGTTTGCTATTGCAGATTTAATACGCTATCTAAGATCCGTACATAATCTGATGATGGTCCCAAAATAAGACACATGATATTACCAGCCTAATTCAGTCAAGCATAGGTATCATTATCTCAGGGGCTGGAATCTGAATAGAGTCGACAAATATTTGTATCATAAATAGGAGATTACAAATCAATTGATCTAAAGTTTCAGAAAAGGACCTTGCACCCACAAAGTGACTGAGAAAACCGTATTTTTGTGCGCTTCTTTTGATCTTTGCTGATTTCAAAGACTTGCCATTATTCAGCAAACCTAAGGAATCA